TCTATCAACTTCATGGTGATCGGTATACAGAAAATAAAAAGGAACAAAGTTTAACGATAAAAGAACTCAGAAATGAGGATATTGTAAGTATAAGTGCGATGAAGAAAATGAGTATTTTTAAAGATGCTTTTCTTTTGTTCAAAAAACCTGAGCTTATTTTTATTTTCAAATAATTTTTATAAATCTTTGAAAATTTAGGGCTCATATATGTGTAATGTATCAAACAGGGCCGGCTACATCGTTCGACAATACTCGTTGGATATAATAAGTTAGTATCGCTATTCTTCTTCTTCTTCTGCTTCTTCTTCTTCCTCTTATAATAACAGCAATTTTTGAGGAAATGGCCTCCCAAAACTATAAAAGCCAAAAAGCATACTTTTTTTTGCTTTTTTTTGTACAAACTTGCTAAACTTTGAATGACTGTTGCTTATTGCATGTTTCATTGATTATGCTTCTATTATAATTGTTCATTCAACAAGCAAATATCAAACAGTATCTGAGGTGGTGAACAGAGAAAAATCTAGGAGAAACAAGGCAGAGAATAGTTGTTAGTACAAAGAAGGCAAAAATTTTATCAATATATTTCTGTATTTTTTCAAATTTTTAAACTGTAAACTTTAGAAAACAATTTTGTTGCAATTAATATTAAAAGTTACTATCAAAAAAATTTTTTTCTTTTATTTTGAATATAATATCAACTTTTTTTTTCTTGCAACACAAAAAATGTACTTCGCTTAGTGTCTAATGGCTTTAATTAAATTAATGATTCTTTGATTCCTGTTTTTTCTTTTTTTTCGTAGTCTTTATCTTTTTCTCCTCTTTTTTTTCTGTTAAAATTTCAAGTGGTTTTCTGTGTATGTATGTTTTTTTTCTTCGTTACAGTTGCATGAATATTTGCAATAACTTTTTTTTTTAGAATAGAGAGAAAATCTTCAAATTAATGTTTAATTTATAAGAACCTGAATTGATCAAAATATTCTACTTTTTTTTGTTTTAAATGCTAATAATAAATAGATTTCAATTAAAAAAAAGCAGACAAAAAGTACTTTTTTTGAAAGATTAAAGTGCTTATTTTATTCCTTTTTTTTCTGCATGTTTGAATGGCAGTTTTGATATTAGAATTTTGAAGTTTTTTTCTGGTTTTGCTTATGTACTTCTAATCTTTTTGCATGGAACTAATTTAGATTACTGCGACCTGTATGCTAGCAATGATTTTGAGGCATCACATCTGATACCAATCAGATGTTTGTGTCTATGGTACATAAAATTTGGTTGTCGAAGGAAAGGTGTTGACTGGTCACAGTTGGATGCTAAGCAATGCCAAGGATATGACACTCGATCAAAAGTGTTAATTTCACCACAAGAATGTAAGCGAAACTCGGATCCGTTTGAAGAAAGCAGAAAACGAAAAGATATTGTCCAAACGACAACAACAACCGCACCGGAAGAGTTTATTGGAATTTCACTGAAATCGCATGAATCATCGCATGCAATCCCACAACAGCTTGCTGGAATTCATGTTGATAGTAAGTTCTAAAATCTGCCAGTCGTTTAGGCTTCCGAAGAATGTGCAAGTATATGGCGGAAATAAATTTTGCTGATATTTACGAAGGAGTTAAGAAGTTGATGTCGCGAGAAGAGTACGAATTGATTGTTGAGCATTTGTCTAAGAACTGGACTTCTTTAGACGAAAATGAGAGAAATAAACGGATAATAGAGGTGGAACGTGATTACAAAGAAGCACATGAAGATCGAGGTAAGATTCGCCGAGTTGTTGGTGTTGACGACTGGTCAATTGCTGCTCGACAAAATTCTGATTGGTCTGAATCTCAGAAAAGTTTTCACGATAAGTTTACGAACGGTAATATTTTAATACTTCACTAAAAAAAAATCAGTTTCTTAGAGTAACTGAAAGCAAATTTAGTGAAAAAGAACTTTGGTAGAGCAGTTTTTGAGTATCTTGAGCTCTTTTTAAACTAATTGCTGTATTTTGAATAAATCAAACTATTCCTTTGCAACTGTCAGAAATTTACTGTAGGTCCACTTCGTTTTACCGATGGTAAAGGCGATCATGTTCCTAAGGTTATTCCGTCAGGTCACACTGTAAAACTAGAGTGTAAATATGAAGGGCCTCCTGGAGCCGGAGTATGTTAACAGATTTGTAGTTTTTAAAGTTTAGAAACTTGCTGATAATTCATTAATTTTACTGACATCTTTAATAGACAAAAAAGCTGTTTTGAAACAGTCTACGTTACTTTGAAGTTTATATTCCAAGCTCGTTATTTAACGTAATGCATTAAAATTAGCATTAACTGTTAAAACATTAACTGTTAAATTTTGTTCTAAATTTATTAGGTTTCATGTTTTCTGAAAGTTTTAATAATAATTTTTTATGTGGTATGGAGAAAAGGCGATAAGCCTTTACATTCGGGAAATCAGCGTCCAATAGGAAAACCATATACAATTAAAACCTATGCACTGGAGATACAGAATCCAGTACCTAAGGATTCTGGACAATATTCTTGTGAGGTTGGATATTATTGAATAGTTTTTGCAACAACTTAAAGGTTTCTAAAAGCAAAAAAATAATAATTTTTGTGTTTGCTGCGATTATTTTATTTATTTATGTAACTTATCAACTTTATATTTATTCTTTAGACAATGTCAGATAAATATGAACAATACTGACAGTACTCTGTTTTAAAAGTACAGTACTTACCACAAGCTTTTGATATCGTTTGCAAAAGGTAACAGTTGTTTTGCAGGTTTTCTGTAATAAGAGTGCAATAAAGCGAACTTTTACACTGACGGTACGCGATGTAAGTCGTTCAAAGCCATTTATCTTGCCAAATATACTGGTCAATCAAACCACTAACATCAAACAGACAGTTGAACTGAACTGTCAAGTGTTTAATCCCCCAACAGTAAGTTTTTGTCTGTTACAGAAATAAGATTAAAATTGAGACGATAAAAAAACGGTATAGTGATTTATTAATCTTTTTTATTTTTTTTTTTTTGGGGGGGGGAGGGGGAGGAAAGAAAGAGAAGCGGAGAATAGAGAAAGAACAGAAATAAAAAGGTTTTCTTTACGACCCTATTTTTTGTTTCTAATCAGTAAACTAAAATTGTTCATCTTATTTTGTTTTTATATGTTAGCAACATATATAAATGATACAGTAAACAGTTTAGTGCTAACAATACTTGAGATGTTATTAAGCAATCATTTTTTTGTTCTTGTTTTTTGTTTATTTCACAGCTTAAATTTAAACTCTGTTTTGAACAAAAAAAACCCTAATAGTCAATTGGCGGAAAAGCCATTTGTTTAGAAAAAAAGAAATAGGCATTGAATATGTTGAATAATTCTTTGAATAAACAAAAAACGTGTAGAACTTGTAAAAGTAAGAGAAAAAGAGAATTAGCAAAAAAAAAAA